TCATATCCCCCCCTTATGATATATATACCCCCCCTTATGTATTATACATGGTGATCATATCCCCCCCTTATGTATTATACATGGAGATCATATCCCCCCTTATGTATTATACATGGAGATCATATCCCCCCCCCTTATGTATTATTATACATGTATTATGGAGATCATATCCCCCCCTTATGTATTATACATGGAGATCATATCCCCCCCTTATGTATTATACATGGAGATCATATCCCCCCTCTTATGTATTATACATGGAGATCATATCCCCCCCTTATGTATTTATACATGAGAGATCATCATATCCCCCTTTATATACATGGAGATCATATCCCCCCTTATGTATTATACATGGAGATCATATCCCCCCCTTATGTATTATACATGGAGATCATATCCCCCCTTATGTATATTATACATGGAGATCATATCCCCCCCTTATGTATTATACATGGAGATCATATCCCCCCCTTATGTATTATACATGGAGATCATATCCCCCCTTATGTATTATGTGGAGATATACATGGTGAGATCATATCCCCCCTTATGTATTATACATGGGAGATCATATCCCCCCTTATGTATTATACATGGAGATCATATCCCCCCTTATGTATTATACATGGAGATCATATCCCCCTTATGTATTAATACATGGAGATCATATCCCCCCCCTTATGTATTATACATGGAGACATATCCCCCCTTATGTATTATATACATGGAGATCTTATGTATTATACATATCATATCCCCCCCTTATGTATTATACATGGAGATCATATCCCCCTTATGTATTATACATGGAGATCATATCCCCCCCTTATGTATTATACATGGAGATCATATCCCCCCTTATGTATTATACTTATGGTGATCATATCCCCCCCTTATGTATTATACATGGAGATCATATCCCCCCCTTATGTATTATATACATGGGTGATCATATCCCCCTTATGTATTATACATCCCCACCATAGATCATATAACCCCCCCCTTATGTATTTATACATGGAGATCAGTATCCCCCCTTATGTATTATACATGAGATCATATCCCCCCTTATGTATTATTATACATGGAGATCATATCCCCCCTTATGTATTATACATGGAGATCATATCCCCCTTATGTATTTTACTTTGTATTATCCATGGAGATCATTCCCCTTATGGATCATATCCCCCCTTATGTATTATACATGGATTGTGATCATATCCCCCCTTATGTATTATACATGGAGATCATATCCCCCCCTATTATGTATATTATACATGGAGATCATATCCCCCCTTATGTATTATACATGGAGATCTTATTGTATTATACATTATCCCCCCTTATGTATTATACATGGTGATCATATCCCCCTTATGTATTATACATGGAGATCATATCCCCCCTTATGTATTATACATGGAGATCATTCATCCTATCCCCCTTATGTATTATACCATGGTGATCATATCCCCCTTTATGTATTATACATGGAGATCATACCCCCCCCCTTATGTATTATACATGGTGATCATATCCCCCCTTATGTATTATACATGGTGATCATATCCCCCCCTTCAAAAGTCAGCAGCTGCAGTTTTTGTAGCTGCCGACGGACGAAAAAAAGAAAAATATATGAAACAATTCTATATGAAAAATGGAACATGAAAAAAACCCATATGTAAAAAACCTATTAAAATATAAAGTATAATTCTTGAATTGTTCATTGCTGCAGCCATATTTAATTTAAACTTGTATCTCATTTTTATTTTTGTCTTCATCATTTATGATTTTAGAATTTAGTAAGATTAAATAAATGCCCTGAAAACGTATAAAAAATAATTGCAAATATAAATCCCCCCTTATCAGTTTTATTCATATCTTCCCATGAATTTTTTTAACCAGCATGTTAAATTTGTGTGCCCATTTTTTTTTTCCGATATGCATGAAAATCTTTGTTCCATTATGTTTTTTTTTAAGTCTTGCAAATCAAGAAGCAAATTTTGCAATATAAACTAGCTGAGAAGATGAAGGTCAACGGCCATTTTTTCACGAGTTTATTATATATTTTTTCAATAAAAAGTACAAAAGCCTTTTTGAAAAAATAGATTTTAACTAAAAAAAAAATAATGTCAGCTCTGTTTTAATAAACTATGAACACCACACACTCAGGGGCAGACTGACCATTTGGAAACTCGGGCACTGCCCAAGGGCCTGGGGTCAGTAGTGGGGGGCGCCATGAGATGACCCTGGTACCTTTTTCATATAGGCTTTTTTGAGTTTGGGCAAGGAAACAGGAGCCCCATATGATCCCCTATTGCCCGGGGAGAGGGGGCCCCATGAGTTGTCAGTCCGGCACTGGTCACACTTGATGCTTTTTTTTCTTCTGTTTAAAATATATTTTAAATATTTACTTACATTTCAAAATGGTAACATTTTCTTGACCAGTTTTGTAAATATCCACAACGGACAAGTGTTTTGGTAAAATGCTACATTCGTATTTGTGTATTATTGGCCAAAAATTAGATATTTTAATTACTATCAGTTCACTCCTCCTTCGTCCTTAAAAACCATTGAAATAAAAAATAATTTATAAAAGTAACTTTTTGTAGGTTTCAATACCCCCAAATTCTATACATGAGTATTTTTTTTTTCGCCTCTGGTATATAATATTTTAAGGAAATAAGTACTGATGATTGAATCAGTTTTGCAAACCTATTTATTTATTTATTTTATATTGTGAAAAATTGTCATAAAGGAAACTCAAGCGGGTCTCTTAAAATATTTGATTAAAAACGGCCGTATAAGTGAAGGCATTGAAAAGTAATCTATGGACATATTATACTATTTTCAGCTTAAAAAAAAAAAAAAAAAAAACTTCTTTATTTCCCCTTTCTATCCATCACATGGAATAATCTTCCTGAAAGGATTAAATGAGACACCCGTAGAAGGATTTCTTCCAGCGAGGTCTGAAAAACAACACGTTTTCCTGTTTTGTGTTTGTTATTATTGTTAAAATTAACAGGGGGGAAATAGCGATTCAGCACTCTAGGTCCCCTCCATTGTGTTCATGTTAGGTAGACCTGCGTGTGATAAGTCTGCAATCTTCATGTAGTATTGGGGCGATTCATTAAAAAGGACTTTGCACAGTATTAAGGGGAGGAGTATGGGAAAGACAAAGGGCTGGGATGTGCGGTACAGAGACAATATTGTTGTTCCCCAGGGACCTTCTGTGTCTAATTAAAAAAAAAATAATAATAGAAAATAAATAATAAATAAATAAATAATAATAATAATAATTAAAAAATAAGTAAATAATATAAAATATATGTATATATGTAAAATAATAATAATTAAAAAAAAAAAAATAGCTTACAGTATCTTCTCTGTATATGTCTTTGAAGACGCAAGGTGACCTATATATTTATACTGTATTTACTATTTCACCGTTATTAATTGTAATCTTGTAATATATAAAAAACGCATTTCAACATACAGTGTGTATATATATATACAGTTACAAGAAAAAGTATGTGAACCCCTTGGGATTCCGTGGAGTTTTGCATGAATTGGGCATAAAATTGTGCTCTGAACGTCATCTAAGTCACAACAATAGAAGAACACAGTCTGCTGAACATAATACTACACAAACATTAGATGTTGCCATGGTTTAATTGCACATAACATGTAAACATTCACAGTGCAGGGAGGAAAAAGTATGTGAACCTTTGGACTTAATAACTGGTTGCCCCTCCTTTGGCAGCAATAACCTCAACCAAACGTTTCCTGTAGTTGCAGATCAGACCTGCACAACGATCTGGAGTCATTTTGGACCACTCCTCTTCACAAAGCTGTTTCAGTGTAGCAATATTCTTGGGATGTCTGGTGTGAATCGCTCTCTTAAGGTCATGCCACAGCATTTCAATGGGGTTGAGGTCAGGACTCTGACTGGGCCACTCCAGAAGGTGTATTCTGTGCTGTTGCAGCCATTGTTTTTGTTGAATTACTTGTATGCTTTGGGTCATTGTCCTGTTGCATCACCCATCCTCTGCGGAGCTTCAGTTGGCGGACAGATGGTCGTACGTTTTCCTGCAAAATGTCTTGATAAACTCTGGAATTCATTTTCCCATCAATGACAACAATCCGTCCAGCCCTGAGGCAGCAAAGCCGCCCCAAACCATGATGCTCCCTCCCCCATGTTTCACAGTGGGGATGAGGTTTTGATGTTGGTGTGCTGTGCCTTTTTTTCTCCACACATAGTGTTGTGTGTTCTTCCCAAACAACTCAATCTTGGTTTCATCTGTCCACTGTTCTTGCAACTGTTTATATATATATATATATAAAATTAACAGTATCCGTAGCATTTTCTACAAGCAAATGTATAACACACAGTAAAACAAGACAACCTAATGGGAATGCAGATCATTTCATTTTGGTGTGAAGTGTTGATTGCTTTTCACTGCCAACTCCCCCTTCATGACCAAGCCATTTTTTTTGCTATTCGGCACTTGGCTACTTTAACCTCCCTGGCGGTATGATTATTTCAGATTTTTGGTGCTGAAAGCGATACCATTATTTTGCATGGAAATTTGGCGTTTTATATTGCAGGCTGTAATTCTTAGGAATAACTCACTGAAATCTGTCTGAACAAGAGTCTAGTAAACATCCCGGGTGTGATAAAATTTGAAACGCGAAATCATAAATTATAATTTAATAAATAATCATAAAAAATAATAATATAATAATAAATGTAATTCAATAATATAATCAAACCAAAAACACTGAAATGTGAAATATAGCGCCAAGTTCGCACATCACTGAGCTCAGTCGCAGAATCGTTTTCAGTGTCTGATGAGGAATTTCCCCCACGAATCATTATCACTCAATTCTGCAAGTGGTTCTGATTTACTATCGCTGTTCTCTAGCCGGTCTAAAACCGCGTCTGACCTAAAGGGACGCTTTTTGGACGCCATGGACGTTTCTCAGTTTCCAGGCAGAAAGAACAGTAAAAATGCAGGCAGGGCGCCGGACAAAGCACTCGGGACAAAATGTATGTGAAATGGTTTGATACAGGAATGTTATACTATGTGATTTTAGTGAATTTAGTGAATGTCACTTTTTGTCATTTTCAAATTTCCCGCCAGTTCCGTCCCCCGTACGTCCCGACGTCGCAGGGAACAGAACCCGGAAGACAGATGCCGGCATCAGTCAGAGGACATTGCTGGGGACACACTGCAGGAGGGACATCACGGGAGCACAGGACAAGGTAAGTGATCGAGAGATCCCGGAGCAACTCTGCAGTGTATTCCTGAGTGTAGCTCGGGGGGGGGGGGGGGGTTACCGCTTGTGGTGCTGAAACTTTACCCCGAGCTACACTCGGGAATACCGCCAGGGAGGCTACCTGGTAATTGCGCGGTCAGGTAACACTGCGCCCAAACAAAATTTATTTCTTTTTTTTTTTTCACGAATAGAGCTTTCTTTTGGTGGTATTTGATCACCTCTTGGTTTTTACTTTTTGCGATATAAACAAAAAAGTTTGAAAAAAAATCTATATTTTTTTTAAATAAAACATATCCAATAAAAATTTAAAAAAATTTAATTTATTAAAAAATGTTGGCCAAAATTATGTCTTTGGTAAAAAAAAAATAAAAAAATTTCTAATAAGTGTATACTGGTTTGTGTGAAAGTTATAGTGTCTACAAATTACTTTTTTTGATCTAAACAAAAAAAGTCTGAAAATTAAAAAAAAGCTATATTTTTTTTATAAAACATATCCAATAAAAATGATTAAAAAAATCTAATTTATTCAAAAATGTTGACCAAAAATGATGTCCTTGGTAAAAAAAAAAAATCTCAATAAGTATATACTGATTGCTTTTTGTAAAAGTTATAGCGTCTACAAACTAACTTTTTGTGATGTAAACAGAAAAAGTCTGAAAATTAAAAAAAAAAAAAAAATAAGTTAAAAAAATATATATATATAAATATATATAGGGGTGGCGGTGGACGTGGTATACTTGGACAGAGGGGTGGCGGTGGATGTGGTATACTTGGACAGAGGGGTGGCGGTGGACGTGGTATACTTGGACAGAGGGTGGCGGTGGACGTGGTATACTTGGACAGAGGGGGTGGCGGTGGATGTGGTATACTTGGACAGAGGGGTGGCTGTGGACATGATATACTTGGGCAGAGGGGTGACAATGGATGTGGTATACTTGGACAGAGGGGTGGCGGTGTGGATGTGGTATACTTGGACAGAGGGTGTGGCGGTGGACGTGGTATACTTGGACAGAGGGGTGGCGGTGGACGTGGTATACTTGGACAGAGGGGTGGCGGTGGATGTGGTATACTTGGACAGAGGGTTGGCGGTGGATGTGGTATACTTGGACAGAGGGGTGGCTGTGGACGTGGTATACTTGGGCAGAGGGGTGGCAATGGATGTGGTATACTTGGACAGAGGGGTGGCTGTGGATGTGGTATACTTGGACAGAGGGGTGGCGGTGGACGTGGTTATACTTGGACAGAGGGGTGGCTGTGGATGTGGTTATACTTGGACAGAGGGGGGGCAGTGGACGTGGTATACTTGTGCAGAGGGGTGGCAGTGGATGTGGTATACTTGGACAGAGAGGGGGCAGTGGATGTGGTATACTTGGAGAGAGGGGTAGCGGTGGATGTGGTATACTTGGACAGAGGGGTGGCGGTGGGGTGGACGTGGTATACTTGGACAGAGAGGGGGCAGTGGACGTGGTATACTTGGACAGAGGGGTGGCTGTGGATGTGGTATACTTGGACAGAGGGGGGAGTGGACGTAATATACTTGGACAGAGGGGTGGCTGTGGATGTGGTATACTTGAACAGAGAGGGGGCAGTGGATGTGGTATACTTGGACAGAGGGGTGGCGGTGGATGTGGTATACTTGGGCAGAGGGTGGCAGTGGATGTGGTATACTTGGACAGAGAGGGGGCAGTGGATGTGGTATACTTGGACAGAGAGGGGGCAGTGGATGTGGTATACTTGGACAGAGGGGTGGCGGTGGATGTGGTATACTTGGACAGAGAGGGGGCAGTGGATGTGGTATACTTGGACAGAGAGGGGTGGCGGTGGATGTGGTATACTTGGACAGAGGACTGGCGGTGGACGTGGTATACTTGGACAGAGAGGGGGCAGTGGACGTGGTATACTTGGACAGAGGGGTGGCTGTGGATGTGGTATACTTGGAAAGAGAGGGGGCAGTGGACGTGGTATACTTGGACAGAGGGGGTGGCTGTGGATGTGGTATACTTGGACAGAGAGGGGGCAGTGGATGTGGTATACTTGGACAGAGGGGTAGCGGTGGATGTGGTATACTTGGACAGAGGGGTAGCGGTGGATGTGGTATACTTGGGCAGAGGGGGTGGGCAGTGGATGTGGTATACTTGGACAGAGAGGGGGCAGTGGATGTGGTATACTTGGACAGAGGGGGGCAGTGGATGGACGTGGTATACTTGGACAGAGGGGTGGCTGTGGATGTGGTATACTTGGACAGAGGGGTGGCGGTGGACGTGGTATACTTGGACAGGGGGGGGTGGCGGTGGACGTGGTATACTTGGACAGAGAGGGGGCAGTGGATGTGGTATACTTGGACAGAGGGGTGGCTGTGGATGTGGTATACTTGGACAGAGGGGTGGCGGTGGACAGTGGTATACTTGGACAGAGGGGTGGCGGTGGACGTGGTATACTTGGACTTTGAAAAGCGTTTGACACAGTTTCCCCACACATGGCTCTAATGTGTATGGTAAAGTGTATGGGGGGAAAGATCTGAATGTAAATGGTTAGAAAAACTGGCTAAAAGATCATATTCAGAGAGTAGTGGTTAATGATTCATACTCTGAATGGTCTCAGGGTGTCAGTGGTGTACCCCAATGTTCAGTGTTATTAGTGGGGTACCCAAAAATCAGTGTTGGGACCTTTACTTTTTAATATATTTATAAACGATATAGGGTCGGGGATTCAAGTCTTTGCAGATGACACCAAGCTGTGCCGGGGAATAACGTCCTTACAGGATGTCTCCAACTTACAAGCCGACCTCAATGCTCTGTGTAATTGGGGGACTATGGGGCCAATGAGGTTTAATGTTGATAAATGTAAGGTTCTGCACTTGGGGGCTAAGAATATGCATGCATCTTACATACTAGGGGGGGGGTACAATACTGGGGGGGTCAATGGTGGAGAAGGATCTGGGGGGGTCAATGGTGGAGAAGGATCTGGGGGGAGTCAATGGTGGAGAAGGATCTGGGGGGGTCAATGGTGGAGAAGGATTGGGGGGTCAATGGTGGAGAAGGATCTGGGGGGGTCAATGGTGGAGAAGGATCTGGGGAATCAATGGTGGAGAAGGATCTGGGGGGGTCAATGGTGGAGAAGGATCTGGGGGAATCAATGGGGGAAGGATCTGGGGGAATCAATGGTGGAGAAGGATCTGGGGGGGTCAATGGTGGAGAAGGATCTGGGGGAATCAATGGTGGAGAAGGATCTGGGGGGTCAATGGTGGAGAAGGATCTGGGGGAATCAATGGTGGAGAAGGATCTGGGGGGGTCAATGGTAGAGAAGGATCTGGGGGGGTCAATGGTGGAGAAGGATCTGGGGGGGTCAATGGTGGAGAAGGATCTGGGGGGGTCAATGGTGGAGAAGGATCTGGGGGGGGGGGTCAATGGTGGAGAAGGATCTGGGTGAATCAATGGTGGAGAAGGATCTGGGGGAATCAATGGTGGAGAAGGATCTGGGGGGTCAATGATGGAGAAGGATCTGGGGGAATCAATGGTGGAGAAGGATCTGGGGGGGAGAAACAATGGTGGAGAAGGATCTGGGGGGAAATCAATAGTGGAGAAGGATCTGGGGGGTCAATGGTGGAGAAGGATCTGGGGGTCTGGTGGATCACAAGCTTAATAATGGCATGCAATGCCAAGCTGCGGGTTCTAAAGCGAGCAAAATCATCACTTGTATTCATAGAGGTATAGACTCCAGGGAGAGAGATATCATCCCCCCCCCCCCCGGTACAAATCATTAGTAAGACCTTCATGTGGAATATGCAGTTCAGTTTTGGGCTCCAATTCACAAAAAGAACATTGGGGAACTGGAGAAAGTACAGAGAAGGGCAACCAAACTGATAAGAGGCATGGAGGAGATCAGCTATGAGAAGAAAGATTAGAGGAACTGCATTTATTCTCTACTGAGAAGAGGAGATTAACCCCCCCCCTGGCGGTATTCCCGAGTGTAGGTCGGGGTAAAGTTTCAGCACCACAAGCGGTGACCCCCCCCCCGAGTTACACTCAGGAATACACTGCAGCGTTGCTCCAGGATCCCTCCAGCACTTACTTTGTCCTGCGCTCCACGCAATGTCCCTCCTGCAGTGTCCCCTGTAATGTCCTCCGGCGGATGCCGGCATCAGTCTTCCGGGTTCCGTTCCCTGCGACTTCGGGACGTACGGGGGATGGAACTGGCGGGCATTTAAAAAATGTAAAAAAATTCCCTCAATAGACCAAAATCTGATAGTATTCCATTCCATATCAAACCATTTCACATACATTTTGTCCCGAGTGCTTTGTCCGGCGCCCTGCCTGCATTTTTACTGTTCTTTCTGCCTGGAAACTGAGAAACGTCCATGGTGTCCAAAAAGCGTCCCTTTAGGTCAGACGCGGTTTTAGACCGGCTAGAGAACAGCGATAGTAAATCAGAACCACTTGCAGAATTGAGTGATAATGATTGGTGGGGGAAATTCCTCATCAGACACTGAAAACGATTCTGCGACTTTGCTCAGCGATGTGCGAACTTGGCGCTCTATTTCACATTTCAGTGTTTTTGGTTTGATTATATTATTGAATTACATTTATTATTTATATATTATTATTTTTTATGATTATTTATTAAATTATAATTTATGATTTCGTGTTTCAAGTTTTATCATACCCGGGATGTTTACTAGAGTCTTGTTCGGACAGATTTCAGTGAGTTATTCCTAAAAATTACAGCCTACAAAAAAAATGACATATTTCCATGCAAAAAAATATACCGCTTTGAGCACAGAAATACGGACATAATCAGACCACTAGGGAGGTTACAATACAGCAGTTTACCTGTCCCTCGGTCCAGTGGTGTCCTCATCACCGCTGGTTTCACCAGCCGTCTTCTCTCCCTGGAGCCGGTATCTTTACTGTGGGCACCCGGCTGTGACAACTTGCAGCTTCACAGCCAGGTGCCCACTGAGCATGTGCGAGAAGCTCTGTGCTTTGTGAATGGCCCCGTAGTCTTCTTGTACCTGTTACATGTCCCTGAAGACTATGAGGAGGGGG